GCGGTGGGGGCGGCGGGCGCGGGGCGGGAGCGGGGGCCGCGCCGGCCTACAACTAATGTCTCCCTTTGTGTCTCCCCAACTCCATCTTCTCCCCTGGTGCGCCGGGCCCGGCGACCCCGCAGGAAGGCCTGGACGACGGCCCCGACTTCCTCTCGGAGGAGGACCGCGGAGTAAGTTCTGCTTCTTTCTCGCTCTCGGGACCCTTCCGCCCCAGCCTTGGCCCCTGGGTGTGGTACCAGGAAGGGTCCCCTGTCGCGCGGCACCTTCTCCCCGGCGTCCTCCTTTCGGTTTCCTCGCTGCACCGCGCCCCGCCCTCTTGCAGCCGTTCCTCCCTCGGGGCCGCTCCGTTCTGATTTCCCGGGGACCCACGGCCGCTTTCCTGTCCCCCGCCCCGACTCGGACCCTCCCTTGGACCTCCTCCCCCGCCCGGCTCGGGGCGCAGGTGGGAAGTGGAAGTGGAGGCCGGAGCTGGGTCCTTACCCTTCACCCCCCGACCCTTGGAGGGGCTATGAAAACACATTCTGCGACCTTTGTGGCGGCACCCTCAGTTTTCTCCCGTTGTGGACCTCAAACCCGCTGCCGCCCACTCGTCTAACCTTCTAAAACAGATATAGTACAAGCTTTTTCTAAATTGCCCCTTTGCAAGGAATTTTACAGTTGCCGAACCTTAACTCGTATCCAGTATCCTACCAGATTTTGCAAAGTGCTGGAAGCTCACGATACCTTCACGTTTCTTAATGTCCAAAAAATACATCTTTTGCGGAGTTCCCTTGGTGACGGTTTGAGGCCAGTTGCCTGCCACTTAAGAAGGGGCCTCCAGGCTCCGATTCCTCCCTCCCACTCTCCCCCCTTTCCCTCTATTTGCCTTGGCTGAAGGGGGGTAATCTGTATAGTGCCTTGTACAAGTGAGCACTTGAAAAATATTGATATGTGATGATTGCAGCTCAGCAAGGTTCCTTGGGTCCATCACATTTAACAGCCTGCACTTCAGTTTTCCATTTTACCTTTACTTATTCATGTTAGATAATATGAGAGACACATCAGTTAGTCGAATTTTGGCAAGTGACAAAATATTGTTGTGGGATATTAACTGTTTTTTAAATAAAAGATGAGGTAGTTAGTATTAACTGATGAGCTTTATAAAGTTTTCAAATGGTAAGAAGGATACAGAAGGGGCTGCATACTTTTATAAATTTCTCAGTTTACACAAAAGCATCATTTAGAATTTCTAGTTAGTGTGAAAGCATCGTACAGGATTTCTGGTTATTTCTAAAAAGTTTAGTTTCTAATGAGTTTTTAAAAACTGTGTAGGTGTGTATCTGTATCTTCTGGGGTAAGACCGTAGTAGCGTTAGATGGCCACTTAAAAATTACATTTTGGGGGGCGCCTGGGTGGCTCAGTCGGTTGGGCATCTGCCTTCGGCTTGGGTCATGATTGCAGCGTCCTGGGATCGAGCCCCGCGTCGGGCTCCCTGCTCAGCTGGGAGCCTGCTTCTCCCTCTGCCTCCCCTGCTTGTGATCGCACTCTCTCTCTCTGTCAAATAAATAAATAAAATCTTAAAAAAAAAAAATTACGTTTGGATTTTAAAATAGGGAAGCCAGTAGAGTTGTGTAATGAAAGGAGAGGAATTGATAATAGTATAATTAAACTGATTTTTCTAAATATAAAGCAGTTGGCACTCTTTATTTAGATAACTTTGTCTCTAATTTTTGTGGTCTACCAGAAAAAGCAAACAGGATTTGCAAACAGGATTTGCCCTCCTGTAAAATCTGAATAATGTTCAGTAAAAGTATTAATTTTTTGAGTATTTATTTTGATATGAAAAGCAGAGTATTTTCTGGTTAATATTTGCATTCATTGCTTTATGCCTTTGGTAAGATTTGTTTATGAAACTCGAAGCACTTATGTAATGTGTCCAAAAACTTTTTTCATGTATTACAAAATTAAAGGGAAAGGGAGACAAAGAGCATGCCTGACCAGGAGAAAATGGAAAAAACATTACCATGACTTTTTTTTACAAAGCATTTAGACTGTCATAGTGAATATGTATATATGTCCAGTTCTTCCTTACTTTTTGTCCTGTGGAACTGGGTGAATTATAGTAATAATTATAGGTGGGCACTGTGTTAAGTACTGTATAAGCATTGTTTCATTATATTCTCTCATTATCCTTGTGAAACTTTTAGTATTCACCTTTTACAGGTTAGAAATCTGAACCTTGGAGGACGCCCGGATGGCTCAGTCATTAAGCGTCTGCCTTCGGCTCAGGTCATGATCCCAGGGTCCTGGGATCGAGCCCCGCATGGGGCTCCCTGCTCGGTGGGAAGCCTGCTTCTCCCTCTCCCACTCCCCCTGCTTGTGTTCCTGCTCTCGCTATTTCTCTCTGTCAAATAAATAAATAAAATCTTTAAAAAAAA